CATGTGATGGTCAAAGAACAAAGAGCTGATCCCAGGCTAGTGTCCAGGGATGCCTTTGAAGCTCCGCCCCTGACCCTAATCCCTCCCCTTGACCTGTTACATAGGAATACATAGAGTTATACAAGATACATAGAGTTATGGTAAACATAGAGTTATACAAGGTTAAATGGATCTATGATCCAGAACAGGTATCCATAAAGTAGCAATTCTAATTGCCAGTAAGATTTAGTCTGAGCTTCCTGCAGCCTCCAAGTACCAATTCAAAGTTTCACTAACTCTAAGTCAAGCCTTGCAATATTCCATACTGGGGCAATCAAGGCTTGACTGCTCTCTCTTCGTGATTACCAGTTGGAACTACCCACTGAAGTTATTTATGAATACCCATAAAGTAATGCTTACTACTTCCAGCCCTTGACACTAGTTTAGGAAGATACCATAGTTAATTGTCTTGAATGCTACCAAGGAGTCTAACAGGACCAGAGAGAGATGCATTACTTTAATCTCCATTAGAATGAACAATGCAATTTCTGTTCCAAAATTTGAAAGTAATGAACATGTCACTTCCCTGGAATCCTCTGTAATGGGAACATTTTCTTAACAACTTTTCCTAATGTTGGAGATTAGTGTAAGGTTGGAGATTAAGTGAAAGTCTCAAGAACAGCTGGAATAAGGAATGTTCCCTTTAAAAGAGAGATCACCAAGTTTCTTTCATGACAAGTGGCATAACTCTCAGAGAAACCTTAATTATCTCTTGAATCCAGCCACACATGCTCCACCTGTAGGAGCCAGAAGGGGTCTGGACCCAGCTCACCAGAAGCAGAGCTCTCACTACAGAGAAACCTATCATTTATTTGGTTCCACAAGTTCAAAAGAACCTTGGAATGAACCACCCATCATAATAACTGCTAATACCTGCACATTGTAGAATGGCAATATAATATTCAAGACAAATATCTGTGGCTTAAAAAGAAGCTCTTTTTCAGTCAAAGTTGAAAACAAGAAGCAGCTTTGTACTTCCCTCCCGAGAAGGCAGAGTGAGTTATTCATGACCACTTGAATATATATGCAATCCAAGTGTGGAAATGCTACATTACAGACTTACCTTTATGTTGGGGACAGTGTTTTCCATGAGGAATTCTGTTTAACTGAAGATAATAGCCATCATCAGTCAGAACTTGATACTCTTCACTGGGATACTCCCAATATTGGAGGATTTTAGACTATAAATAAAATAAATTCTTACTCAATATCTAAGGTGCACAGCTATTTTCAGTAAGTTGAGTAGATTTCTGGTCCATATATCTTTGTGGTTTTATCTTTGGGTTTAGTGAATTAGCAGTCTTGGAAAAATTAATCCAGATGGAACATGCAGAAATTATAAATGCAGAACAGTTAAAAGCTACGCCTGATCTGTATGTTAAACACTCAAACAGACTGATTAGAATATAGCACAATTGGCTGGCATTTGGTGGGTGTGGTAGCAGATCTTGTTGATTTGCTGAATGTTGATTTGCTGCTAAAATTTGTATGATACACCAATCAATTATCATTCTGAGAATGATGGGTGGAATGAATGCTCTGCTCAATGAGTTACTCCTAGGATAGGTCTGCACCTTGTAATTATGTACTGTCATCCCTATTGGACAGTGGAATGGAACATGTTCTGGCTATGTTGTATTATAATAAAATAATGTCATCATAAATGGTAGAGCTTCGGAACAAAGAATTTCTACTTCATGGGTTGTATCAAAGATGATTTTCCAAAAGGCAATGAGACTTTTTTTAGTTTTTTTTTTGAAATATTTTGTTTCTCACTTCTCATAAGAAAAACAAGACAGTCCAGTTGCCTTTTGGAAAAAGCACATTTGGGACAACCATGGTCTAAATCAGGGGTCTGCAACCTTAAACGCCCAAAGAGCCACTTGGACCCATTTCCCAGAGAAAAGAAAATACTGGAAGCCACAAAACTTGCGTGCGCGCATGCGTGAGAAGGGAATAGCTTGACTGAAGAGTTTAATTAAAAAGAAATAGAGACTGCTGTGCATGAGTTCTCTCTCTCTCTTTCTCTGTCTCTTTCTCCTCTCCCCCTCTCTCTCTTTCCTCTCCCTCTCTCTTTCTCTCTTTCCTCTCTCTCTTTCCTTTCCCTCTCTTTCTTTCTCTCTTTCTTCTCTCTCTTTCTCTCTCTCTCCCTCTCTCTTTCTCCCTCCCTCTCTCTTTCTCTCCCTCTCTCTTTCCTCTCCCTCCCTTTCTCCCCCTCTCTTTCTCTCTCTCCTCTCCCTCTCTCTCTTTCCTCTCTCTCTTTTTCTCTTTCTTTCTTTCTCTCCCTCTTTCTTTTCTCTCCCTCTCTCTTTCTCTCTTTCCCCCCTTTTTCCTTTCCCTCTCTCTTTCTCTTTCCTCTCTCTCTTTCTCTCCCTCTCTCTTTCTCCCTCCCTTCTCTCTTTCTCTCTCTCTCTTTCCTCTCCCTCCCTTTCTCCCCCTCTTTCTCTCTTTCTCTCCCTCTTTCTCTCTCTCCTCTCCCTCTCTCTCTTTTTCTCTTTCTTTCTTTCTCTCCCTCTTTCTCTTTCTCTCCCTCTCTCTCTCTTTCCCCCTCTTTCTCCCTCTCTCTCTTTCTCTCTTTCCTCTCTCTCTCCCTCTCTTTCTCCCTCCCTTCTCTCTTTCCCTCTCTTTCCTCTCCCTCCCTTTCTCCCCCTCTCTTTCTCTCTTTCTCTCCCTCTCTCTCCCTCTTTCTCTCTCTCCTCTCCCTCTCTCTCTTTTTCTCTTTCTCTCTTTCTCTCCCTCTCTCTTTCCTCTCCCCCTCCCTCTTTCTCTTTCATCTCTCTCTCTCCCCTCTCTCTTTCTCTCTCCCTCTCCCTCTCTCCAATCTTCTGCTCACCTGGCATGCTGGCTTCAAGCTGTTCTCCAACAAGCTGACATACATTCTTATTGGGCTGGCTCTCTCCTCCCCTTCCTGCTTCCTGCAGAGATGCAGAAAAGGGAGGAGCCCCACCCAATAAGCTTGTCAGCTCGTTGGAGAAAGGGTGAGGCCACTCTCTTTTTTACACACACACACACACACACACACACACACAGAGAGAGAGAGAGAGAGAGAGAGAGAGAGAGAGAGAGAGAGAGAGAGAGAGAGAGAGAGAGAGAGAGAAGGGAAGTACAAGTGCCTCTCTCTCTGTCTCTCTCTCTCTCTCTCTGTCTCTCTCTCTCTCTCTCTCTCTCTCTGCAAATGGCAGAGGAGGCTGGGAACCGCAGGAGAATGCTCAAAGATCCACATGTGGCTCTGGAGCTGCAGGTTGCCGACCCTTGATCTAGATGATTCAGAATCACCCTAGATATTTCAGAGGTTCTTCCTTCTCCAGGTGAAGACTTAAGATGCTCTTGGCATGCCAAGGTCAGAAGCAATGAACACAATCACAAAAAGAAGATATACTTGTTTCATGTAAACAACTTACGATTGTCATGAATCCTTCAGGATTCAAATGTCTTCTATTGAAAGAGTCTTCTGAATTTGTAGTCTGCTGGATTAAGCATGTCAATACTATAAACACCCACATCCCACCTGTGAGTAAAATAATTATGGCTTAAGGTTATAATTTTAATGTCTGAAAATCTTCAAGAATATTTTTTGATACATCTTAGAATACATTTCCCAAGGGCCTGGCTGTATGGCCTTCACAACTAAAAAAAATTGGCAACATTTATTAGTTGGCATTTCCTAGATTTATGCTTTTCAGATGGTCTACCATTCTCACTACAGAAATAATAATGATAATAAAAACAATTATTCTTTTAAAAAACCCCTATTTTACAGTCCAAACATAATTTAAAGGTATTAAAGAAAATATTATTAAAATAAATCTTAAAAAGGCAAAGAGAAGACCTTGGTTTTGATAACTACAAACATTTTGGTACATGAGAATTTGGAAAACATATCACACACTTCAATCCACACATACATTTATATTATAGAAAAACAGGGAGAGATGTTTCTGCTGTCCTGTTCTTTGGAAGTATTAGAGAGTGATCATTCTGAAACCTGGCCCTTTAGTTGATTCAAACTCCATAATCCTCAGCTGGAATTATTGATCAGTTCTGTCATTGTAAGAAAATTAAATTCAGTTGCAAAAATCTAATGCTTACCTGTTAGTTTATTGTCCAGGAGACCTTGAGTACTGAACAGATGCTGCATAAAGTTTAACAGAATATAGTAAAGTACAAGTCATCATCATCAAGTAAGTTGGTGAATGTAGCATTTTATGTGATTATAAATGATGATGTAAGAGCTAAGCTGAACAATTTTTCTAAGACATTTTGAATATCCTTAGGTAAAATCTGTTTAAATTTTAAATTGGCTGACTCAGGGAAACAGAAGGTAAAATCCAGAAAAACAAAACCTGCTGCACAATTGCCTGAGGCTGCTCATTATGTTTCATTATGCCTGAGGATTATTTATGGGAAGAAAAAGATGTGGACATGAAACAGCTTGGGCAAGAAATCCTGTATGATGCCTCTATGGGATTTAAAAAGTAGATTGGTAAAAGCTTTGAAGACTCCTTTTAAATTCCAAAGAGCAATGAAAGATTAAATCTGCAGTGCCACAGGAAAGATTTAAAGGTCAAAACTATGCAGAGGAAAAAGAATATATGAATATATTGACTAGCAATAAATGATTTGTTTGATATTTCTGTAATTCCTAATGGACCTTTTGCTGAACTAACATGGAAAGGATGATGATTTCTGTATTTTGTGTGGATTTTATTTATTTTATCAATTTAAAATATTTATATAGCCGCCCATCTTATATTGAACTCTGGGCAGCTGCCAATCAGCAATTAAAACAATATCAATAATAAAATAACACAATACATAAATATATTAATACTACAAACATTAAAAACCTGGCACAGATACCTGGCTTTTGAAGGATGCAATTAGAAAATAGTAGCCATGATATCAACAATGTCAGTAATGATATCTGCTTCTATGGATAGACTATGTCCAAAAATATTATTGAAGAAATATCATATGTAAAACAATTTTTTCTGACAAAATGGAGATGGTATCGAAAGTGGATTTACAGCTGACAGGTGAAGAGAATGACTAAAAAAATGTTTTACTGGATCTAGAAAAGATTGTAAAATTTAAAAAGGAAATACAAATAATAAACCAAGGGATGAACCTAGATAATTTTTCCCACTGGATGTAAATAAGAATCTTGTTAAAGCCCTGAAAAACGTTGATGGGAAAAAAATGGACAGAAATCAAATCTTAAGTCAATATTTGAATGAACTAAAAATTAGAAGTAAATGGAAGAAATATGAAGTTGGTTTAAATGATCAAAGTTAAAATAAGATATGGTATTCCTTCTGGCTACCCTTTTTGGACTTTCTGCTGACAATAGGACTGAAAAAAAAAGATATTTCATTGATTTGTTTACATGTAAGATATGGGACATGGGAAGAAGAGATAAATGTTTGTGACTTGAGAAACGGTGCAGAGTTACTAAATTTATTTATCATTGTGATGGTTAGAAGTTATTTTTTATATATTTTTATTACATTCTTATTTTTCTTCTCTTTTTCTTTTTTCTTCCTTTTTTCTTATACTTTTCACTCCTCTCTATCTTCTTTTCTTTGAGTTTAATCTACATTAAATGCTACTATTATAATCAAAATTATTAGTAATTATATACATAAGAAATTGTTTTCATTGTCTTTTTGGCTTCTCTTTATCCTAAACATTCTCAAAAGTCCTTTAGCCTCTAATCTTGTTACGAAAGATATTATCCCTTTTTTTGTCTGTAGCATAATTTTTGTCTTTTTGAGGAAATATTCTTTGTCTGCCTATGTAGTGTTGGATGTTTACCCCTCCCACTCAATTTTGAGTATAAAGATTTATTAGCATCTACAGGCAGCTTTTCTTCCTGCAGATGTTCTCTGGGTGTCCCTGCATTGGTGTTATGTAAAAATTTATCCTACTCCTTTGTAGCATCTCTCATTTCTAGCAGGCTACATTCCTGCTAGATAAGATAAGATGCTGCCAGACTCTCTCGATTAGACTAACTCAGATAAGATGCTGCCAGACTCCCTCGATTAGACTAACTCAGTGATGGCGAACCTTTTAGAGACTGAGTGCCCAAAAACCAGCCCCTCACCATCCCACCTGCTCCGCCCCTCCCCCCTGCTCCGCCCCCCTTGCAGGGCCACTCACCACCTCCATGGCTCACTGCAGATCACCCAAGCAGCCCAGCAGCACCATGGTGGCTACGCCCTCCACCTGCGCCCCGCAGCATCCACTGTGCACGACGTGGTGCGAGGGTGGAGACTTGTCCCCACTGCCCAGCTGCCATGTCCTTGTCTGCACTGCTCCAAGCGGACCGCACCCAGGGGCGACTCTCCTCCAGGGGGGCTCCTGGTGAGGAGGGGGCCACAAGGGGAGGCGGGGCTGGGGTGATGGCACGCATGCCCACAGAGATGGCTCTGAGTGCCGCCTCTGGCACGCGTGCCATAGGTTCGCCACCACTGAACTTGTCCCTTTTCTTATAAAGGCCAGCTCACATCCCAATTTCTCAACTGATGCACTCCCCTTTCACCTTAGAAGGGCTTGGACTTTATAGTTACACATTATTTCCTGCCCAGAAGTTTCAGTTTCTTTCCAGTCTGTTGAGTCCTCAGTGGTCTTACGGCTGAGACCCTTTTCCATCCCCTCCCCTAACATTGGAAAAGGATTGTGTCAAGGATGAAACTTTGGCAGCTATATGCCATTGCATTTCAACTTGTCTTTAGATTAAGGGGGAGAGAGGTGTTACTTTCAAGTGGGTTAGATGGAAAAATGAAACTTCTACGATTCAGCTGAAGACCGTGAGAGCCTGAAGCCTTTTCAAGGACACCAGAACAGGTGTGGATTTGAAGATAATAATAATAATAATAATAATAATAATAATAATAATAATAATAATAATAATAATAATAATAATAATAATAATAATGATGATGATGATGATGATGATGATGATGATGATGATGATGATGTTGGAAGGGACCTTGGAAGTCATCTAGTCCAACCCCCTGCTCATGCAGGAAACCTTATACCAGTGATGGCGAACCTTTTAGAGACCGAGTGCCCAAACTGCAACCCAAAACCCACTTATGCATTGTTGGGTGCTGGGTGGGTGTGGCCCATTGGCCTTACCAAGGCATTATAAAATGGTATTAACACTTCATGTGATCTTGAATCTATCCCTCTGTTAATGCAGTCTAGCACTCTGTTGGCTTTTTTGGCAGCTGCAGCACACTGCTGGCTCATGTTTAAGTGATTGTCCACTAGGACTCCGAGATCCTTCTCCCATAACAAAGTGAACTTGTTTATATGGACTACGTAAGATGTTGGTGGTTTGGCTGGGAAAATTATTGTTTAAGTCTATGAATTGGTGTTGGAACCTTAGAGTTAGTTTTGCTTTGACATAACCAAGCAGTGTATTCAATAAACAGTAAGATTTTCAGAGATGGAATGAACCTGAAGTTTTATTTGGATTCTTGAGCTGGATGTTGACAGATTGCCTATAGCAGCTGTGTTCAGTGGGGTTGGGTGATTTTGGGTCAGACACTGTCTCAACCCAAGGGTTGTTGTGGGAAAAATAGGAGGAGGCAGGAGTATTGATTTGTTTGTCACCTTAAACTGTATGTGAGAAAAAAAATCTGGAATAAAACTTTTTTCTTTTTTTTTTAAAGAAAATAGCCCAACTCTCTTGAGAGTCAGGAAGCAAACAATTTAACATGCCCTCACCAGATGAAGGTGATGTGTTGTACTTGAAGCACTAGAAAATTCCTGAGTATATGGTAATATTCATGAGAAATTTCAGATCCAAAGCAACTAATGAAGATGCAACAGGCATCCTTACATATCAGGGATGTATCAGCAAGAAAGATTAGCTCTCTCTGACCCATTTTAAATTTCCAAACTGGATCAGAGAGACATGATTAGATGCTCTCAAGCCTTAATTTATTTATTATAACACTAGGAGAAGGAGAAATTACCCAGGAGGAGAAATTAAAACAATAGCTAATTATAGAATCATAGGGCTTAAAAGGTCCTTGGAGTGCTTCTACTCCAACCCTTGCCCAAGGGAGTAGTTCTTATATTATCCTGGACAAATGGTTGTTCAATCTTTTTCTTGAAAACATTTTCACTGTCAGGAAATTCATCCTTATTTCCAGGTTAGATCTCTCTTTGACAAGCTACCACCCATTGCCTCTTGACCTGCTTTCAGGTGCTACGGAGAATAAATCCACTCTCAAGTTTTTGAAGACTCCTATCGTGTCTTCCCTAAGTCTTCCTTCTCTGTTAGGCTAAACACAACTAGTTTCCTTAGCCATTCATCATATGATTTACCCTCCAGACCCCTTATTATTTTTGTTGCTGATCTCTGCACTCTTTCTAGGTCAGGGTTATCAAACTGCCGGCCTGTGGGCCGGATGCATCATGGCAAAACCACGCCCACCCCATTGCCAGCAATGGAAAAAAAGTCACGATACATCAAGACACATCATGTGAT